TAAATGTGACTTGACTTCTTACACTCACCTTTTATCCAGCGGGAAGGTGTCTAAACCCTGCAAAAGAGATTCAGTGTTGTTTATTTTCACGTCAGAGAGCCATAAGCACATGATCATGTAGCTGTAGCGTATCTCACATCAGCGAAGATCCTCTCTCTTGCTCTCTGATATTCCTCCTCTCGCTCCTCGATGGACTTGCTCCTCCTGTCCTCCTTTAGTTTCATGCGCATCTGAAACAGCAGCATCACATCACATTACGCCGTTACTCTGCGAGCTAATGGCGGGTTTGATGTCGCTTCATCAGCAGATCTCCACCTACCACGCTGTCGTCTTTGTCTACGCTGGAGTTGTCTCTTTTTAAGATGCAGCGCTTCTGGAAATCATCCGTCTTGTCGTCTTTGATGTGTTCGGAAAACTTCTGATCTGGTCTGCACACGAACGGAGAGAGAAATCAAAATGAGGACCGCTCCAGGAGAAGTTCACGGCCATCACACAAACACGATCCCCGCGAGCCTGATGCAAATCCCTCATAATTACGCTTCTCCTGCAAAACTCGTTTCGAAGGGATCAAATGCAAAACGTTGGGCTTCAGTCGTCTCACGCTGAACGCTAGCATGCGGAGGTCACTCACATTCGTGTATTGCTGGTTTTGTTGATGATGACACATTTGCCGGTCTGGTCGACGTTGTGGTCTAAGCCGAAGTAAGCGGCGACTCTGTGCAGGAGCATTCGGTGATAGGAGGTCATGGGCGGAAACTTCCTCTGACTCCTGGAACAAACCAAAACACATCAATAGCACACCATGTAAATGTGTTAATAATCATTCAACTGTTGGAGGTTTATGCATTCAATTGATTAGACATGCCTTTGACCCAACTGAATCCAGAAATATTAAAATGGGGGAAAAAAATGGAATTCGAGAAAATTAAATGGAATTTGGGGAAAACATTTTTTTTTATTTCATATGGCCTTAATATGTAATTTTTGTTAAACTTTTAATAAATTGTTGTTAAATTGTATAAGTCTCATTATTTCAATTAATTATACATGCCTTTTGATTATTAAAATGGAATTAAACCATTAAAATGGAATCCAGAAATATTAAAATGGGAAAAAAAATGGAATTTGGAGAAGAAGAAAAAAAAAGGATTTTAAAGGACTCTAAAATGTAATTTTTGTTAAACTTTTAATAAATTGTATAAGTTTCATTATTTCAATTAATTAGACATGCCTTTCAAAGACATGACTGTTAAAATTTAAACAAACCATTAAAACCAAAGCTGGAAATGGAATTTGGAAAAAAAATAAAATGTATTTCATATGGCCCTAAAATTATGTTTTTGTTAAACTTTTAATAAATTGTTGTTACATTGTACAAGTTTCATTATTTTAATTACCCAGATGTGCTTTTTGATTACTAAAACTAAATTTTAGTTAAAATTAAAAATCCAGAAAAATTAAAACAGAAAAAACTAAATCCAGAAAATCTAAAATGTACAAAATGTAATTTGGGAATAAATAAAATGGATTTTATGAGGATGACACAGAGCTGCGATGAAGGACTTACTCGTTATTAC